GAGAGAATCTGGAGCTCTCGTTCCGCGTGTGGCAGTGCGGCGGCCGTCTGGAGATACACCCGTGCAGTCATGTCGGCCACATATTCCGCGACTATCATCCGTACTCTTTCCAGGGAAAGGACACACACGGTATCAATACGTTGCGCACCATTAAGGTGTGGATGGAGGACGAGTTCCAGCGGTACTTCTTTATGCATCGAAACGACCTGAAGAAAGTGGACGCCGGAGACCTCACCGACCGGTTGGCGCTCAAAGACCGGCTCCACTGCAAGAGTTTCGGCTGGTATTTGAAGCACATCTACACCGAAGAGAAGTTCATATTCGACCGCAACGCCAAAGCGTACGGATTTGTCCGCAACGGTGTCTCAAACCTGTGTTTGGATAATCTGAACCGCGAAGAGGATAAGACACACAACTTGGGTACGGCTTCTTGGAGTGGGGGATGTGTTGTTACCATTTTATTGATTTGTTTGTTGTTGTTTAGGACTGTATGTGTGCGCACCGGACAGACCGGCCGATGTCTGGACGAACCAAGTGTTTACTCTGAACAATGACGGAGAGCTACGGCGGGAGGAGAGCTGCGCGACTGTGGAATCAATGGACGACACAGTGGTGCAAATGGCCAAATGTAATGACATAAAAATGGCCAAAACTCGCCGAAAGCGGACGGCGAAGAAAGAGAAACGCAAACAGCAGTGGAAACACACGAAAGGCGGCCAAATAGTCAACGAATACACGGGTCTGTGTCTGACCGCTGCCGACACTGAGAGCGGTGGTGACGCCCGAGTGGCCGACTGTAACGAAGACGACGCACACCAGTTGTGGTGGTTTCAGACGTACACCGATATCCATGTCCTGTGATCTGCCGATCAATAGGACTGCTATTTATTTTGTTTATTTGCCGATAGTTTTGATCGAATTTTTAAATAATTATTTTGTATTAATAGGAAATGAATTATTTATATTTATGAATATATCGATAATTTATAGAGTTTTATAAATTTTTATATTTTTAAATAGAGTTTTTATAAATAACTTTCTTATGCATGAAATCCATTGATATATGCGATGACGAGACGAGAGAAACGTGAGATAAATGTATTTTATTTTGTTTTTATGAAAAAATTATATGTATTTTGTGTTAACAACTGAACAATCAGTCAATCGATTCCCAATGTATTGAGTATTTTCTCTGTTGAATACAAAACAGACAGTCATTTAAAGAGTACACGAAAAAAGAGTTTATAATTTATTTTTACATTTAAATTATTTATTTTAAACCAATTTATAATTAATTAATGTCTTTATATTTGTCGCACAGATTTCTCCATATTTTTGATTTTCTCTCTCTTTGTGAACACAAACCTTATAATTGGTTTGATTTTATTTTTCCTTTTAATTGTTGCGAAAATAACTTTTGTTAAAACTTTTTATATTTTTAGTATTTAATTATGAAATGCCTTTTATTTATATATCGTTTCTCTTCGGAAAGTCCTTAAAATAGTCGCTATTTTTCAACCAAACGTTTGTTTTTCATTAATGTATTTCTAATTCTGTAATGAATTCTCAAACAAATGAATTGTATTTAAAGATTGAATAATCAATTGTTTTTCCATTTAGAAGAGAAAAACAATTAAAACTATAAATAAATTTAATTAATTAATTAAAAGCGTCTGTTTTGTTGCGATTTGAATGAAGATATCAATGAATTATTATCTGATAATTAAATGCAATTGTTTTCATCGCATGTTTAACTGGAATACGACTAATGAATCGCTTTTTATTATAAGTGAATAAATAGTTATTTTTAAATATCTTTCCACACATTTAATGATGGGATGGATAGGAATGCAGTTTTTGCTGATGATTATCATGATTACCATGTGCTGCACAGGTATGAGGTATGCCTCAGCACTGGTTGTGCAGTTGATTCACTCGATGCACAGCCTTTTATGGCACTGGCGTTTGGGTCAGTCGATGGTAGCGATGATCAGCCCTGGAAACCGGTATTGAAATTTAGCACTCATTTCCAAATGCTATTTAAAAAACATCACAAAATTAACTCAAATAACAAAATGCAACTCTTTTTGTGTGGTTTTATGTGTTATGCGAACCAAACAATTGTGAATTCAATTGCATTTCGTATGAAATACAATATAAATCACTTGTTTTTACTGTAGTTTCAATCATTGCATTCAATCTAAAAGGTTTTTCGCCAAACAATTGCTTTGGAAATAAACTTTTTTCATAAAATTTTTAGTGTTTTATAAATTAAAAGTTGTATTTCATAGAAAAATAAATTAAATGTTTTGAGTTAAAGATGCGTTAAATTGCAAAAATATAACACAAAAAACAATTTAAATAACATTAAACGCTAAATGTTAAGTGCAATATAGGGGTACACTATTAGGGCATAAAAAATCGTGAACACAATACACAGCATAACCGCAAACAAACAACTAATGGCACAAAAAACTAAACAAAAATTTATAATTAAATTAAAAAATATTTATTCAAATGGCTCTCAAAAAATCAATAATAATAATAATTAAAAGATAAAGCAATCATAAAATGTTTAGATAATATTAATTAATTAAATTATTATTAATTCGATATATATTTTGTATTTTTATTTTTTTCTAAACTTATTATACGATTAATAATAATAAAAACAAATACAATAATATATTCATAATTATAATAGCATTTAATACGAGGTTTTCATTCGAGCGACGAATCCATAGACAGACAGAGAAAGTGAGTGAATGAGAGAGAAAGCGAAAAATTGACAGAAAATATATTTATAATATATAATTAAAAAGAGATTGAAATGAAAAAATCATTTAAAAATCAATTCTCAAAATAAGGGTCGAAACGAGAGATGTATTTCTTATTTTTATAAATCATATGGTTTTTCATCCAAATTGTATCCATTATTACAATTTCTGTTCAAATATAGTAAACATTTTAAAAGTCTATTTATATTTATATATATTTATAGTATTTATATATATATTCTTGTATTTCATTTAATAGTCAAATATGTCTTCATATTATTCTTCTTCTTTAAATGTCACCTCATTTTCGCAAAAATATAATTAAAAATTAATAAAAAGTGTCTGAAATGTGAGAAACAGACGCAAGAGATAGAGAGATAGAGGGGAAGAAAACTCATTTCCAATAATAATAATATAATAATAATTATCACAATAGAAGTGTTGTTTGCCGTCAGAGAAAATCCAAACACTAGAGAAATAAATCCATTTTTTGTTGTTTTATGTCTTTTGTTGTCTATATTTATAAATTGATTTTTGACCGACGAGTTGGCCGTCGAGAAAGTGAGTGACAGATGAGGCCATCCATACCGTGGATCGGATGCCGCAAAATAGGACTCGTATTCTGAGTCCTAAACCATCACTCCTTCTTCTTAATGACAATGTCTTTCAGGTTTACGTTTACTTTCTCTTTGACTTTAAGCGGAACCGAATTGAAACAGAATCTAAACCAATGGATCAAAACATTCAATTAATTAGTTATAATTGCAATCAAAAACACATTTCTATTCATGAAAAGAGCGTTTGAATAATTAGTTGCTATAAAAGTGATTACAAATCACAAGTCAATGACATAAACACTTTTAAAAAACAAAAAAGTATTGCAAAACAAAAACAACTGTCAATAGTGTACAGAAAACAAACTAAAATTCAATTAAATCCCAGAAAACATACGATAAAACTCGAACACAAATATAGTGCACAAACTTTTAGTCCGAAAACAGTTTTCCCCAACATTTTCACTAAACATATGTTGAATACGAGACAATTTAACTGTCAGTAAAATGTCATTTACACTACATTTACAATAAAAAATCAAAATTCAAAACAAATAATACATAATTTAGTAATAAATAGCTGCAAAAAACATGCAAAAAATACTAAAATCAATGCCACACATAAAAACATCGATAAGAGAGTTAAAGGGTTTATACAAAAACCAATGAAAACGACAGAATTGTTTTCATTAAAAAATTGATACATTTTTGTGATAAACATTAGATAAAGAAAGAGAAAAACCTAAAAAAGTTATTCAAATCGTAAACACAAGAAAAAATGCTTTCATATCTTACATGACATTAATTACTGGTTATAAATTAGCGATAATTAGGACATCAAACACAACACAAATATCACTGAAACACATGATTTCGCAATACGTTTTTTACAACAATAATTAAAATACCAAATGTTTTATGAAATATTAATAACAAATAAAATTTCATACCTTTTGAAAGCCTCTAATTCTTTCTCGAATTCGTCGAGTTCTCCGTTATCTAAATCAATATCTTTCGGCATAAAGACCTCATCTGCGGGACACAAATGGACACAAAAATTAATACAAAATACAAACAATTATACAAAAAGCAAATCGGGATCATATGATTGGCCACAAACCTGGAGAGAGCGCTTCCTCTGTGTTATTCTTCTTGCGTAGGTTTCGATTGATTTTGTTTTGCTTTTGTTTCGATATCTGTCGGACAATATCGGTGTTGTCCGCCCTTTCGGGTGACTGTGAGCTCTGGTTGTTTTGTATCAGTTGCTGATTATGTTTGGCTGAGCCGTTGGCCACACCGACCGTCGATCCGTTTTGCTTGTGGTGAGGAATCACGCCATTGGGTAACACCACGAGCGGCTGCTTCGGCAGCTGTTGCTCGTTGTTTAACAGCTTATTGTTGGCGTTATTTATATTAATTATATTGTTGTTGTGGTGGTTGTGATGGTTGGCCACCGATGTCGCCGTCGTGTGGCCGTAATGGTTGTCCTCTTTGCCGTTTCGGTCGTTGGATATCTTGATCTTCTTCTTATTACTGCCATTAGTCTTAGCGCTGCCATTGGTGTTGGCATTCTTGGCGGTGTGGCCGCCGTTAGTGGCGGCCGTCGTCGTCGTCAGACCGTTGAGTCCGGCGGCGTTATTGAGATGCTTGGCAGTAGTGGTGGCGCCCGTCGGTGACCGGTGTTGCTGTGCTGAGAGCTGTTGGGCGACCATTAAGTTTAACTTAATATTGTCGGCCAACTTTGTCGGCTCTGACTTCGCGGTCACTGCGGTCGCCGTCGGCCCAGTGGCCACTGTTCTCGTCATTGTTTGCGGTTCTCTGTGTTGCTGTTTGGATGTGATATTGTTTTGATGACAATGATTGCTATTATTGTTACCATTAATATTACTATTATTATTATTAATGCTGTTATTGAGGGACACGTTGTTTGCGGTGGTGTTGGTCTTCGTATGATCGCCGCTCTTATGATCCGTGAGTTTGTGATCGTTTTTAATCATTAAATTATCGGCAGTTTTCGTATTGGAATTAGTGTTGGAAATCGTTTTGACGTTTGCTTTACTATTATTCGCAGAACTATTGGAAGATTGTTTCGGCGCTTCCGACGGCTTCTGGTCAACGGAAGCCGCGACCGACGCCACCCCTCCTCCCACTCTCTCTGTCTTCGTTTTGTCTTTGTTTTTCTGTTTCTTCGCTTTCTCTCTCTTCGCTTTATTCCTCTTATCTTTACTATCGGTTCCGTTAATAAAGTTAATCAACTCTTCGAGGTCTCTATCATCCCTCGCGGGCGGGTCCGCACCGGAGGCCACGGCTCCAGCATTGCTACTCTCTTTGCATTTACTCGTCAGACCGGAGGCAACGGCGGCGGCGCCTCCACCGCCCGTGTCGTTGCCGATGGCAATGGCGGCCATCGCTTGTGTGGTCAGACCGTTCTTCTCGCACTTCTCGGCCTTTCGTTTGCTTAGTCTGAGTCGTAATCGTTCGCGCATTTCGTTGTAGTTGCGAGAAGTGGGCGCCACGGCTGGCATCCCGTGACCGAACACTTCGCAGTAGCAACAGTCGCATACCCGCCCGCCTTCGCCCCTCTGGGCATTGCTGGTCGACGTACTGGTGGTGGAGCTCTGGTCGGAACACGACTCGTCGTCGTCTTCGTCGTCCTCCTCGTCGTCAACATCTTCTTCGTCGTCGCACTCGTCGTCGTCGTCCTCATCGGCGCCATCGCCTCTACAGCCGCCGCCGCACTCGTCCTCATCGCAAGCCGAGTGGCTGTGCGACGAACCGCTGCCTCCGCACTGATCGCCCACTTTGACCGATGAGGGCGAGTCGTGGCCACCGCCGCTCTTCGCCGCCGATGACAACGCTTTGCTCGTCAATAGGAGATCCACTTGCGTGGCAGCGGTGGCCGACTTGAGATGCTTGTTGGCCGCCGCGGCCACCGACGGCAGGTTCGTCGCTATTGTCTTGATGTCGATGGCGTCCCATTCGCCGTACGCGGCCAACAGTGTCTGCTCTTGTAGTGCGGAATTGATCTCGATTTCGATGTTCACTGACTGCATGTTTTTACCCGACTTTAACAACTTTTGCTCTTCGAGGAAACGGGCGTTCAGACACTCAATCGACGGCTTCTTTATACACATCGGACTCTCGCCGGTGGCCTTCCCTTTGCCACCACCACCGCCGCCGCCGGACACGTGATCGTCTAATACCCACTCGACGCTAAATTGTTCCCATTCTTTAATTAGGGCCCGTTTTTTGTTCAAAATCGCGAACTAATGACAAAAACAAACATAAAATGTCAACAATAATGACAAAAATGGCCATTTTGTGGACAAATACTTTTTCATATTTATCGATGAACTGTTGGGCTTCGCGCCAAACCACTGATATCACTGTCATCTCGTCCTCGAACTTGAGAAACCGGGCGTACATATCGATCAGTGACCTGTCTTTGGTCAGCGCCGTCAGTCTGAGCGGCACAACGAAAACAAGACAATTAATAAAAACCCGTAAATCATTGGATGTGTGGCCACTCAGGGGCTCAGAGGCTGAGACACATACTTTGGTAACCCATGTTTGATGAAAGTGTCGGAATAGACAGTGCTCTGGAAGAGCCTCCGGTTGAGGAACTCCCACGTGAGGTTGAATTTGCGTAAATGCTTGGACTCGAGCTCCTGTAGGAATTGTGCCGTCTGTTTGCTGGCCCGACAGAGTCGGCCGTATTGGTCGATCATCGCCTCGAACAGCGCCTGCGAGCCGTGCTCTAAGTGTTTCAACAGATTTAGCCGCATCTCCACCACAAACAGCCGGACCTGCGCTTCCAGGCATTGGTATAGTTTGTGCCGATCGTGAACACAGAGTCTATGGATTAAACATATCATTAATTAATCAGTAATTTATTGTCAATTTATGTGTAGGTCTGGGGGAGGGAAGGGGTCAGCGAACAGTCAACCACTCGAAACAAACCACTCATTAAATTACAAAACAATTTGTTATTAATAACAATAGCTATGAATACGAAACAACACATTAATGTTTATTACTTTACATACCATTTGAATGCAAACAACAAATTGCTTATGAATTCATATGTGAATCAATTACTTATTCAACAGAATATATTCACTTCCGATATATAATAACGATAACTACCGTATAATATGTGCTCATATGTGGAGAGAGAGGGAGAGAGAGAGAGGGAGAGAGAGAAATTCAATGTGTGTTTTAAACTGCAGACACAATAACAACAATAAATCTCATATAAAATAGTGTTAAATCATAAGCGAAATGAATGAACAAACAAATAAAGCAGTCATTAAACTAACAGCACATCCAAAGCAAACCGCGGGCTATAGTATTAGGCACAAAATGTGGGAACCATTTGGTGGCCACCGGGGCTGTGGAGGCGTGTGGTGTGGATCAGTTGATGACTTACTTATGAACGATGTCTTTGAGAGTGTCGTTGTGAGGAAGGGGTTGGTTGTGCTTCGGGGAGACATCGATGCGGTTCTGTGTCATAAACGTGTGATTCAAGACGAGACCCGACTCGCGGTATATGCGAAGAATGGCTGACTTGAGTTCGTGCCAACACTGGCGCAGGTCTTCATGACCGGACGTGTGGTGACCGCCGTTAGCGCCTCCGCCGCCGTAGATATACATCTGATCCGGTGGTGAATCCAACGTGAAGTGTGTTGAGAGACAAATGAGTGCAGAAATACAAATGTTTGGTAAATATTGGATCACTTTTTGCAATGCATTCACTAAACAAATGCCAT